CGGTCCCATTTTGGCACTACGATCCCATGGCGCGCTTCAGACCAAAAGCTAGCGTGAAAACTTCACGTCTTTTTTTTTTTTTTGGGAGTTTGGATGATTAACCAAGGGCTTGAGCTCAACTCATATTCCCATTCCTAGATCCAATCTGGGAATGGTCGACTGTATGCATATCTACAAGCCTACCGAATGAACCCTAGTTAGGGTAGACGACATATTTAGCGTTTTCGTCAAATTAAATATGGCGTCTGCTCTAACAAACGCCCGTCTTGTCATTTTTCCTCAACCTGAAGTTTGTCTCCATTGGCGCATCAACACCAACTGTAAACGCGACACTACCGATTGATATTTTTTCTCAAGTTGAAGCCTCGTTTAGTTGGCTTTACTGTGATTTTTGAGCTGCAGGTAGGTTTTTCTTTCCCCATCAACCCCACAATTGAATGTTTATTGACATTCCGTCATTGCACTTACTTTGCTAGCTTATGTAATATATCATTAATTTTCAAGACGACTGCCATTTCAGACAGTGGGTATCAGCGGTTTAGATTTTATTTTCAGTCGGACCAATTTTTGTCACTGTTTGGGTTATTTACGCACTACCATAAATGCTAACCAACAAAACACTAGCGTCTGATCGCAGACTTCACCTCAACACTTGAATCGAATTGAACCCGTACTGTCATGACTGTGGAATAAATTGCCTTCGAGTCGTCAGCGATACAACTGTCTGTCAAAACTTGATGCTTCATCAAGTCCAAATGTTCAAGTGTGACACTCAAATCATAATGTGTATCCTGTGCCATAATGTAGAGAATCTGTTGTTATCGATTCAAACAGCTTCCCGAATGATTCTGTCGCTGCTTTGTTCAGGGGTTTTTAGTATCAGCTGAAGTTCTGGCCTTGTGGGGTATTTGTACAGGTGACTCTAGTTCATTTCTTTTTTCCCCTGTACGTTTTCATACATCTTGGATACAGTCTGATATGTCTGATTTCATATGCATACAAACTGAGAAATGCCATAAATTAATTTCACCACCTTGTTTACAGACAGATTAAATAAATCTATTCCAACCCAGTTACTTGTCGGTTTTCTTTGCTGTGTGTTATTTAAGGGTTCATCTAATGCAGAATCCTTTTTCTTCTTTTTTTTAAGTTTAAAGAAGATAATGGACTGTTTGCACAAAAATTGGAAATTGTTCAGGGAAGACATGTTTTATTACACACAATTTTTCCTGGTTTGCACACAAAAATGGAGAAGTCAAACTTTAACTGAATGTCACAGTGTTTTAAAACTTTCTATCAGATCTTCATCGGTTACCAAAAAAAAAAAATCAAATACAAATTTCCTTTTTTTTCCCCCATTATGTGGTAATGAGCAACACCGAATCTGTTGAACGAACTTGATGAAATATGGATTTTTTTTCTGTTTAGTTTTATAAAATAAAATTGTACTTTATTGCACAAAAAAGAACAAATGGTCATAAGGATTTATTGCACAAAAGGAAAAATGTTAATGAAAAAAAAAAAGATAAATGGGTTTGTTTCAAATTAAGGTTGCAAAGGGATGGAACTTTTTTGGTAAATTTTCAGAAACTTTCCAAAAAAAAAAAATCCTGGAAAGTTTCCAAAGATTATTTTTATTGCGCAAAACCACATTTCTCTCAGAACCTTTTTTTTTTTTTTGGTTCTAAAAAACCATTATAAATTTGGGATTTAGAATGTCAATTGCAAAAATATAAAAGGACAATGGTAACAATCAAAATATGGCTTTGTGTTTGTCTCAATATGAAAGATTTGTGCACACTTCTAGGTCTACTTATGTTTATATTGTTAAAGCTGCAGTCAGTAAGTTTTGCCTCTTTGTCGCCATCTATGTTTGAAAACCTGGAATTGCAGCTGTGTGAGGAATTATCTAGCTTGCGTGGGTTGTGCGGCGGCACGGCTCCAGCGCGGATGAATCTAATGTTCTGAAGAGTATGTGTGGCAGTCAGTCACCGGTGTGGATATTTACTGTACTTCACAATCACAGATTCTAGCCTACGTCTTGGAATATATATGACTCAAATAAGCATTTTCACCGTATATTGCCATCTGAACAAGTAAGTAACAAGTCTGCCACGTTTGTTCTGACCAACTGAGGAAAAAAGCATTACCATAAATCTCGCTACCAATGGTGATTAAATCTAAATGAGCTCATATCACATCAAACCGTTCAAATTATTATTATTGTTATACT